TCCCACATGCCGCGGAGCGGCTGGGCCCGTGAGCCATGGCCGCTGAGCCTGCGCGTCCGGAGCCTGTGCTCCGCAATGGGAGAGGCCACAACAGTGAGAGGCCCGCGTACCAAAAAAAAAAAAAAAAAAAAAAAAAAAGAATGACATAACCACTGGGGACACAACAAGAACTAGTTAGAACCAACTAGGTCCAAGATGGCCGAAGATTCGACTTCCAGTGGGCCCAGAAGATTCGACTTCCAGTGGACCTTGAGCCCCATCATATGCTCACTGTAATATATTAGCTGCTAAATGACACACCCACCGGTGCCATGACAGTTCCGAGGCCAACCATAAAAGGCCAAAAAGTGGGCGGTGGCCCAATTCCTGGAAATCCCCACCCCTTCCCCAAAATAGTTGGAATAATCCTCCCACTCATTAGCCTATGAAATTACCCAGCCCATAAAAACTAACCACCCCATTATTTGGGGGCCTCTCGCCTTCTGAGATGGCCCACACTCTGTCTGTGGAATGTGTTCCTCCCAAAGCCCTTCTCGCCTTTTGAGACAGACCACATTCTGTCTCTGAAATGTGTATCTCTCTAAATCCACTTCTTACCTATCACTTTGTCTCTCACTGAATTCTTTCTGCAATGAGACATCAAGAACCTGGGCTTCATTAAGTCCAGAGACCAGGTCTGTCATCTCAATTAAAAGACAGTGGGTTCAAGTCCCAATGTGGGTTGTGCGGTTTCAAATCCACATCTAACACGAGCCCTTTGATGCCAGTCACTCCCATAACTCAGTGTGATTAATATCTGTACTACCCACCGCCCTGAAAATGAAGCAGGTGACATCTGGTCCACCTGTCGCCTTGGACACAGTGTAAGTGACAGCCACCCTCCCCGCCCCTTCACTCTGCCCCATCTCCAGCGAGGCCCCCAGCTCGATCAGAGGAGATGCTGAGAGAATGATGGATGCGGGGTCCTGAGCCCGCCCAGCTGTCCATCCGAGGCCCTGTTCTGCCCAGCGCCACCCGCAGGTGTCTCCTCCTGGTCCAGACCAGCAGTTCCTAACTGCTGCGCCACCTGCCTCCTGCACATGACCTCCCCTCCTCACCATCTCTCTCCCTCCCATATTTGCATACCAGGGCCCACACAGCTTCTCTTCCCCCCACCCCAGGGTTGCCCTCAATTCTGTTTTAATAGAAGAGCAATGTGAACAAGGCTCACAGGCCAAAATCACGTCCAGGGCGCTCAAAGAATCAGAGCCAGAATGGCTGCCTTTGAGACCAGGGGGTCCCAACTGTTCAGACACGGCTCTGAGGTGAAGGGTGGGGGAACAATCCTGAGCGGGCCAGGGTGGGGAAGGAGAATGTTCGTGTGGCAGATCAGGAGGTAAGTGCGGACTTCAGAGTGTACGTGCATACACACGTGGGTACAGAAATGGGCCTTGAAAAACCTCTGTGAAAATGCCTTTCAAAATTGTACCAACTTCCAATTCTGGTAATGGAGAAGTAAGATAATTCAAACCGGCCCTTGTGCTAAAGCTACTAACAAAACTGGAAAAACTATTTTTAAAATATGTTTGAAAGCATCTAAGAATTAACAAGACAAGAAAGAACTCTCTGGCCCAGATCTGACAGCAGCAGAACCCAGAGAGGTGAGGCCAGACTAGAAGCCGCTTTAGCCCTGTGACTTGTGATCCTGAGAAACAGCTGGTGTTTTATCAGCCTGCTGGGGCAACGGGACAAAGAGTCATGGCCGAGGCCCACCCAAGGTGGGAGTCTCGCTACCACCCGTTTAGTTGAAACCCCAAAGGCCCACACTCTCAGGGTGAACCGGCAGGAACACAGCCTTAGCACCCCTTGGGTCCTCCACACACCGTCCTGATACGCTGGGCCCTCCCAAGGGCAATGTGCCCAGTGCACACCTGCCCACTTTACGATGGAATAGAATTCTCAGTCACTAAGTGATTGCAGTTCACTGTTGTGGAACTTCTGTTTCTGCTTTAGGATGCACTGCTAGTCATATCTATGATTTCTTTGATGGCAAGTTCTTGGTTAGAAACACAGCCCCAGATCATTACACTCTGCCTAAGGGAGCACACAATTCCCTTTGTGACAATCAACTCTGTTACACGGTTTATGGGCTCACGCGGCAACTGAAATCGGATCCTGCCTCTATAAACCCAAATTTGTGAAATGCTCTATTTATTTCAAGCAGCTGTGCTGCTGAGCAGAAACCAGCAAATCTTGGGTTCAAATCCCTGTTTTACAACTTGCAAACCGCATAACGGTAGGCAAATGATCCACATTACTGAGTCTCATTTTCCTCATCTGTGATGACGACGATGACAATAATAATATCCACAATACTCAGAGGGACATCAGGAGCCATGAAGTATGAGGCCCAGTGCTTGGCAATTACTGAGAGCTTAAGTGCTTAATACATGTTCACTATTACTAATATCAGCACAAAGGTCATCCTAGATACCATACTTTAGAGTTAGAGAGATAACGATAAAGGTAATTGTAATAGTTAATAATAATAGTAATAGCTCTAGCTAGTGCGTCAGAGTTTGTCCATGAGTCTAGAACTAATGGCTTTGACCATCCTAAGGTAAGTAATTAAAGGACCAATATTTTTACATAATTGTAAAATGCCAGGCCTAGCGTTACATGCTTTGGAAGTAAAAGACTCGACCTCTGACGCTGGAGGCCCCGGGTTCTGCTGGGAGATAAGAAACGCGCACACAAGGCTGCGGGCAGCTACGAGGCCCCACAAGAAAGGAAATGATGCTGTCTTCGAGGGGGGAGGGGGAAGGGCAGGACAGGCAACCAAGAGCTCCAGGAAATTCGGAAATGACCTTAGTCAAGCTGATGAGGAAAATATGGCTGTGAGTTACTGTGCGAAGCAGAAGAGACAGCCCGTGAATGTTCTCACCCCCCTATGGATGGTCCAGAAGGGGCAGCAGACCCCAGGCAGACCCGTGCTCAGGACTCGGCTGCTGCGCCGGGGCCTGCGCCCTCCCAGGGCCGGTGAGGAAGCAGGGGCCTCACTCACCCTCTCTGACAGCGTCACGGGCCACAGGGACTCTGTAATCATCACCGGCAGCCTTCTCAGAGCTCTTGGCTTTCACGCCTTTTCTGTTGCTCTTTTTACCTAAAAAGAAAAGAGAGAGAGAGAGAGAGAGAGATGCCTTTACTGTCACATATGTCAGAATCATCCCAGGCTGGTGAGGACTCAGCCGTCTTCTCCTGCAAAGCAGCCGTCTCTACCCTCTGCCTTCCCGGACCCCAGTAAAGGCACCTTGGACTCTGAGGGGCCGGTGGTTAAAGGAAAGGAAGTATGTTATTGTGAGCACCCAGGGGAATAACCACTCCTAATAAAAACAATGCACACTTGCAGGACCGCAAAACATCCTGCGGAGTACCTCTGACCCTCCCTGGGGCCCCAAAAGTGACACCATGTCTAATTGATAAAATGGAGCTGGAACTCCAGACCTCTGACCCCGGGGCAAGATTTCCTACCATGCTGGGCTCCTCCCACCTAACTATCCAAGGCCCCGGCTGGGTACCTGGAGGTGTGATGATGCTGCCCACCAATTGAAGGGACTCCTTCCTGGAGCCCAGGGAGTCTGGCTGCTCGTGCCCCGCTGGCCCGTCCAGCTTCCTCTCACACTGGACTCTCTCTCTGCGCCACAGACACTGGCTTCCTTTCAGCCTGCAGTTCATATTTCCTGCCCACCAGAACTCGGCATGTGCTGTGCCTCCTCCTGCAACATCCTTCCATTCACTCTCCATCTATTTAACTCCTGTTGATCTTGCAAATCCAAGCTCAGCCATGCCCTCTTTGAGATGGTTTTCCTGAACTCCCCACCTACATCAATGTCTCCTTGGATGGGCTCTGAGAGCACCTGTCTTTGGTCAAGTTGCCTCTGTGTGGAGCCTGAGGCAGGGGTTTGGTGCAGGTGATGCACTGAGGGAGGGCTCCAAGGAGAAAAGAAGGGAGGAAGCAAGATGAGGCAGAGGAAGGAGCTAAGCTAGGCTGTGTCCCCAGGCAGAGCCTAACTCAGCCTGATCCCATGGGGAGCTCTGGAGCTGGAACTGCACGCAGTGTTACCCCACCTTGAGATAAGGGGCCACCTTTTCCTAGGCTGGTTCGCCTCTGGCTACAGACTGTGGGGGAGGGGTGTGTGTGGGGTGGTGGGAGTTGTCTCCTTCCAAGGATCATGCTCCAGAGAGGGGAGCAGCTGTGAGCCATCACCGCCGAGCCCCAGCAGCTGTGGGATGGGTGTGCCAGTGGGAAACGAGGACCTGGGTGTGGTGTCAGCAGCCCCCACTATGGCTCTGCACACCCGTCCTGTGTAGCATATTATCAAACACATGTAAATATGTTGTTCTGTTCATGGGGGCAGGAACTGTGTCTGGTTTTGCTCATTGCTCTCCCTCCAGAGTCTGGTTAAGTCTTTGAGGAACAACTGATCATGAATGACCATGAGTCAGTGGATGACCAATGAGACAACAACAAGAGGAAGGGAAGGTCTATGGAGAAAGATACTTAGTTTGGATTTTAAAAAGCAAGTTGAAATACCAAAAACATCTAGTGGATTGTGCCAATTAATGAAATCATTTCAGATAGTTCTAGAATCATTAAAAACAACAACAACAAAAAGATATTTATCAAGAAAACCTTAAATCCTCAAAAAATTCAAGGGTGCACTGGGCCCAGCCACAGGCAATCCCGTCTCTTTCATATTCTTGGGTGATACCTGCTGGGCATATCTTTCATTTCTCATGTAAGATAAAAAAAAAAAAAAAAAAAAAAAAAAAAAAAAAATCACAAAATTAAATGTCCTCCTCGGGTCAAGGAAATCAATAAACCAAAACATTTAGAAAGGCCAGAGGAGGAAGACTGCCAATCTGAGTGCATCTGATGACATCAACCTAATGTCACCTCGGCATCTGTCCCATTTTCGTGGGTAGGAATGCCAGCCCGGTGACCTCCAAAGATGACTTCTTCTGAAAGAGCCTGATCGAGGGTCTGTAAAAATCTTGATTGTTTGGAAAACTGGGTGCCATAACTTTTGAGAATCAAGCGTCTGATTTGGCAGAAAGATAATATGTTAAGGGAAGACAAAGTTTTACGAAATATGAGAGGAAAAACCATCCAACCCCTCCCTGGAAGGCGGCCATTCATTGCAGGCCTTCCCTCTGCCTGGGCAACCTCTACGGGGCCTCCACAGGCAGCATGGGAGACAAGAGTCAGAGGACACAGCCCCACGAACACCCTCAGCCTCAATCCCCTGGGCTGGACCCACGCCCCGTACTCAGCTCTGGGAATCCAATAATGGCCCAGATGTGAAGCAGATGTGCTATTACCCCTGAGACCAACATGTGGGGAACAGCTTCCCTGCAGGGAGTGGCAAAGGGACAGAGAAAACAGGCAGGGCACCTGCCACCTTCTCTAGGGAAGACGCACTTCCAGGACATGTACCTACAGATCTGGTTCCAGCCCCAGGCGGCCAGGTTCTGCCACTGCACCGACCATGTGTGGCCTCGGGGGACCCACCTCACCCCTCCTATGCTAATTCCCCTCATCAGTGAAATAAGGAGACATGGTACCTGCCTCAGTGGAAGTTACGGAGAGGAAAGAGATGACATACATCAAAGCACTGAGGGCCGTGCCTGACCTGCAGTGACCTCTGAATAAAAGACAGCCTCCACCTTCTCACCCTTCCTATTAGTCCCAAGTCCCGACCGTCACAAAGCACCATCCCAGGTGCTGGAAGAGTAACAGCCAACACGTGGAGCACGGGGCACAATTTACAAGGCATTTTCACATAGATTAAAACATTCGATCTTGGCAAATACCCATCGAAGGCAGGAAGCTTGCTATGAACATTATTCTACAGAGGGGGACACGGAGGCCCAGAGGAGAAGAGACCCGCCCAAGGCCACTGACAGACAGGAGGCAGCAGAGCAGGAGCCTGGCGCCAGGCCTAGGCCCTTCCCTGCCCCTTCTGCTCTTACAGCAAGAAAGGCAGCATATGGTCTGTACGGATGACAGAAAGAGTGAAGTGGAAATAATGTACAGAGAAGGAGCCAGAACCAAATCAACATCTCCATCTGGGCTGCGTGACAAAACTGAATTCCTTAAAAGCAGCAAACTGAACTGCCAATGCAGGCCACATATTCTATTCTGGTCCATGGTGATAAATATCATGCTCCTTGATTGACAGGAAACTATTTTTTCCCCTCTCTATACTAGGAGCTTACAGGAGCAACCCCAGAATCTGAAAAAATTCTTTGCTGCATATGTGCATTTTCCCAAGAAATTCCAGCCCTATGGCACCTGCTCTCCCTCTTGTGAAGGACGCAGCCCCGCCCTAAGCTCCTTGCCTGGCTCTTGTGAAGGAACCCGCATGAGGAGGAAGGATGCGGGAAACCAAGCCACTGCAGGTTCTCGGGAGCTCCCCAGAGAGGCAGCCTCGCGGCACCGGGACAGACAATAATGCCGCTTTTCTCAAACACCATGGGACCAAGGAGGACCTTGCAGGCGAATGTGAAAAGCCGAAGCAAGAGAGGTTAGAAACCTGTGCTCCCGGGACTTCCCTGGCAGTCCAGTGGTTAAGACTCCAGGTTTCCACTGTAGGTGGCGTGGGTTTGATCCCTGGTCGGGGCACTAAGATCCCGCAGGCTGCGCAGAGCAGCCAAAAAACAAAAAAAAAAATCAGAAACTCGTGCTCCCTGTGTGTGTTAGCAAGAAAAGGATCATGACACAGGGAGGGGACAGCCTGTGTCCTTATCGAGTTCCCAAATCTGAGACAGTCAAGCTCCTGGCAGAAAGAGGTTTCCCAGGGATCAGGTGAAGCCTGAAAAAAAAGGGGCTGAGTGGCTGAAGGACGTGCCTGCTTCTGTTAACCAGTGACCTGAATGGTCTGGGCTGGAGATGGAAGCACCAGGGCAGTTTTCTAAGTACTTTCTTAGCAGGGCTGGATCAAACTCAATCGATCAATCAGTCAGTCAATCAATCAATCAAAAGCCCTCCCCTGCTCCTGCTTGGCTGTGTCTTCCCTGGGAAACTAGCCGATCAGACTGTGTCCTCCTCTGGGCTGGCCTCCTGTGCCGAAGAAAGACCTTGGTCTTGTGCAGAAGACTTGGCCTCCACCAGGGTCCCCAGGGCAGAAGGGAGAGCCACGCCCAGCCTCTGTGCAGCAGCAGCCACCTTCCTGACCTGCAACCAAGCAAGAAGCCCTTAGCCTTTAAAGAGATACCCCGGTAACCACAGCAGGTGGGGTGTGCCAGCCCTGCAGGGGGCACGGCTGGTACTTGCTGGTCTCTGTTTGGGTTCTGCCTGGAACCAGCCTGAGACAAGGCCTTGGAGGCAGGAGCGAATGTGAGAGGTGATTTCATGAAGCACAAATGAAGTGGAGGAAGTGAGACTCAGCGAAGGAAACGCCAATAACCCGGGGGCTGCATTGCTAAGCGAGACCCATCAGGACTCAACGTAGCTGGGGGACCTGAGGACACTGGGTAGGAGCTGCCTCTGACCTGTCCCTCGAAAGACTGCGAGGCTGTGCATCGACCTTCTAACCTCACACCACCTTGGGAAGTTTATTATCATTATTATTATTATTCCCCTGTCACAGTGAGGAATTCGAGGCGTGAAGATGTCATACGTGCCCATGAGTGGCAGAGCCAGATTTTGAATCTCTCTGAATCCTGAAAAAACTATGCCAAACCCTTACACGTGCCTCTCATGGATAAGTACTCCAATAAAAATCTAGAGTCTTTTTTTTTTTTTTTTTTTTTTTTTTTTTTGGTTCGG